CATTTTGTTTAGGATTTTTGTGGCAAGTTCATCAGGGTTATTGGCCGGCGGTTTTATTTTTTTGTTGTGCTTTGCCAGGTTTTGTTATCAGGGTAATGGTAGCTTTGTAGAATGAATTATGGAAGAGTCCCTCCTCCTGAATTTTTTTGGAATGCTTCCAGTAGAATTGGTACCAGCTCTTCTTTGTATGTCTGGTAGAATTCAGCTGTAAATCCATTTGATCAAGGGTATTTTTGATTGGTGGGTTATTACCACTTCAATTTTTAAACTTGATATTAGGGTGTATTATAGTTTAAATATTTGTCCTAGCCTAAATTTCATGTTGAGTTCTAATTCCTAGTGTTGAAAAGGGAGCTTGATTGTAGATGTGTGGACTATGGAGATACATCTTTTATAAATGGCTTTGGCTATCCCCTTGGTGATAAGTGAGCTATTGCTCTGAGTTCACTTAAGAGCTAGTCATTTAAAAGTGTGTGGCCCCTCCTACCTACTCTCTCTCTTTTGATCTTGCCCTGGCCATACAACATGCTTGCTGCCCATTTGCCTTCTGCCATGATTGTAAGCTTCTTGAGGCTTCTCCAGAAGCTGAGCAGATGCCAGTATCATGCTTCCTGTAAAGCCTGCAGAACAGTGAGCCAATTAAACCTCTTTTCTTTATAAATTACATAGTCTTGGGTATTTCTTTATAGCAATACAAAAAGCCTAACACATTCTGTTTAGTGCTTCCATTTTTTCCTGAATCTTGGGAAATTGTATGTTTCCATGAATTTATACATTTCCTCTAGATTCTCTAGTTTCTGTGCACAGAGGCGTTCATAATAATCTTGAAGGTCTTTTTTATTTTTATAAGATCTGTTCTAATGTTATCTTTATTGTTTCTCATTATGCTTTTTTTGGATCTTCTTTCTTTTTTCCTTTGTAATCTATTCACTGGTCTATTGATCTTGCTTATCCTTTCAAATAACAAACTTTTGGTTTTGTTCATTCTTTGTATGAATTTTTGAATCTCAATTTTATCAGTTCTTCTCTGATTTCTTTTCTTTTGCTAGGTTTAGGTTTAGTCTGTTCATGTATTTCTGTTCCCTCTAGGTGTGGTTTTAAATCATTAATTTAAGATATTTCGAACTTTCTGAGGTATGTATTTAGGGGTATAAGCTCTCCTCTTAACACTGTTTTTGCTATGTCCCAGAGATTTTGGTACACTGTGTCTCCCCATTCATTTATTTTAATGAATTTGATAATTCCTGACTTAATTTCATTGTTTACTCCAAAGTCATTCAGGAGCAAATTGTTTAACTTCTATGTAATTGTATGATTTTGAGAGATCTTCTTAGTATTGGTTTCCATTTTATTCCACTGTGGTCCAAGCGTATGGTTGGCATGATTTCAGTTTTTTTGAATTCATTGAGATTTGCTTTATGACCAAGCATGTGTTGGATTTTGCAGTTCACTCTGTGTGCAAATTAGAAGAATATAATACTGTGGTTGATGGGTGGAGTATTCTCTAAATGTTTATTAGGACCGGTTGGTGACGTGTCCAATTTAAATCTAGAATTTGTTTGTTATTTTCTGCCTTGATGATCTAGCTAATACTGTCAGTGGGGTGTTGAAGACTTCCTCTATGATTTTATAGATGTCTCAGCCTTTTTATAGATCTAGAAATACTTATTTTACCAATCTAGATGCTCCAATGTTGGGTGCATATATATTCGGGATAGTTAAGCCTTCTTGTTGAATTAAATACTTGATCATTATGTAACACCCATCTTGGTCTTTTTTACTGTAGTTGGTTTAAAGTCTGTTTTATCTTATATAGGAATAATAAACCTTGGTGTTTGTTTGTTTGATTGTTTTCTGTTTGTATGGTGGATCTTTCTCTAATGCTTTACTTTGAGCCTGTGGGTTTCATTATACTATTGAAGACAGTAAGTTAATGAGCCTTTTTTAAATCCAGCTTGCTACTCTGTGCCTTTTAAGTCAGGCCTTTAAACTATTTACATTCAAGATTAATATTGATATGTGAAGTTTTGATCCCCTTGTTAAGTTGTTACATGGTTATTTGCAGTTTTTATTGTGTGGTTGCTTTATAGAATCTGTGGGTTAGGTACTTAAGTATGCTTTTGTGGTAGCAGTTATTTTTTTGTTTTGCTTTGTTTCCATTTTTAGAATTCCCTTAAGCATCTCTTATAAGGCTAATCTAGTGGTAACAAATTTCCTTAGCACATGCTTGTATGAAAAGATTTTATTTCTACTTCACTTATGAAGCTTAGTTTGGCAGGATACGAAATTCATGGTTGAAATTTCTTTTCTTTAATAATGCTGAAAATAAGCACCCAATCTCTCCTATCTTGTGAGGTTTCTGCTTAGAAGTCTCCTGTTAGTCGATAGAGTTCCCTTTGTATGCTATTTGATTTTTATCTCTGTCTGTAAGATTTTTTTTTTTTTGCATCGACCTTGAAGAATCTGGTGACTATATTTCTTAATGACATTTGTTTTGTGTAGTATCTTGCAGGTGTTCTCAGGAATTCTTGTATCTGGATGTTAGCGTCTCTAGCAGGATGAGGAAAATTTTCTTGAATTACTGCCATATGTTTTGCAGCTTGTTTACTTTTTTTTCTCTCAGAAATGCCTGTAATTCATAGGTTAGGTAAATTTACATAATCCCATATTTCTTGAAGAGTTATTTTCATTTTTAAAAATTCTTGTTTTAAAAGTATTTTTGTCTGACAGTGTTAGTTCAAAAGTCTTCAAACTCTGAAATTCTTCTGCTTGATCCAGTCTATTAATAAACCTTTCAAGTGTATTTTGATATTCCTTAAGTGAGTTTTTTAATTCTAGAAACTGTAATTGATTACTTTTTAGGATATTTATCTCCTCCTTTATTTCATGGATTGCTTTAGAAGTTTCTTTGTGTTGATTTTCAAACTTGTCTTGGATATCTTTTAACTTCCTTGAAATCCATACTTTGAATTCTTTATCTGCCAGTTCTGTTTCCGTTTTCCTTAGGGACCACTGCTGGAGAGCAAGTATGATTCTTTGGTGATGACACTACATTCCAGTTTTTAATGATGCCAGAATTCTTGTTGAGGTTTCCTCTCATCTAGAGATGCTGGCACTTCTAATTTTTGTATGCATTTTGTTTTGCAGAGAGATTTTTCTTTTTCTTTCTTTCCACATAATACTATTATTTGTTTATTCTTTCCTTTTCCCTTTCTTCTCTCCCTAGAGGACGTGAATTTAGAGGATTCTGGGTAGGGCCTTTTGGCTTTTTTTCTATAACCCTATGCACTTCTGATGGCAAGTTTTATACTGGGCTGTGCAGTTTGACCTACAAGCCAGAAGATGGCACTTACAGGGAGGCGCTGGCTGCAGTCAATGTGGCTGGCTATATATTTTTCCTGGTTTACCAGGAGAAGATCTCTGTTACCTCAGGCAACGGGCTTATTTGTGGGGTTCACAGTGGTCTTAGCTCCCTGCTTAGTTTTGGGGGAGCAGGGGCCAAGATTAGTATGTAGGTCTGCTTCTATGCCCCCCAAATAGCAGGGAGAAGCAACAGCAGTAAGGGATAATCCAGTGGGTGACTACCAAGTGCTCAGAGGTGTGCCTAGGCATGGAGCTCTTAAACCTCAGCCCCAAGTTCTCTGCATGGGGATGAGGGGCAGCCCAACTTCTTTAATCCATGAGAGTGGGTACACCACATACCTGAAGATATGCCTGGGTGTATAGCAGAGAGGGCCTCCTTTCACCAGAATCTCTGCACAGGAAGGGTGGGGCAGTCCAGGTTGCCCTCCATACCTGAAAATCTGCCTCACTATACAGCAGAGAGGACCTCCCTGCACCTAGATCTTTGTCCCAAAAAGGACAGTGTGTCTCAAGCTGCTGATTTAGATAAGATGAGATGGTGCTCCAGATGCCTAGAGATTTGCCTGGGCATGGAGCAAAGAAAGACTTGCTACACCACAATCTAGGCACAGAAACAGCAAGGCAGCTTAGGCCACTAAACCAGGTGATTGGGTGCTCTGAATGCCTGAATATCTTCCTGGGCACGGGATGGAGAGGGCCTCACTGCACCTTTATCTCTGTTAATGAAGGATGGGACAGATCATGCTGATGATTCAGGCAATCAGTTGCTCTAAATGCCTGGATATATGCCTAGAGGTCGGGTGGAGATGGCCCTACTGCACCATGATTTCAGGGAAGCAGGCTGGGACACCCCCACAATGGCACACACAGACTGGTTCCAGGTCACCAAACTGGCCCTCCTTGCAAGTTTCACTGCCTAGGATAAACTGCTGCTGCAGCAGTTTCCCCCACTAGACTTGTCACAAGGAAGAGTACAGTTCCATTGCCTACTATTGAGGTGCTTTCCACAGTTCTGGCTGTGGAGGCCACTACCGAACTCCAGAGCAGGCAATCCAGTGTCTGGCCTGAGACTCAAATGCCTGTGTGGCAATGCTGCCAGGTTGCCAAAGAATGGCTGACTTTTTATGCAGCCAGATTAAATATGGTGTCCTCTCAATCCCAGGTCTGGGAAAACGTCTGAAGCTTTTCACACTGTTTTCCCCTCATGGCATCTCCAAGCCTCTCCTCAAGTTAGTTCCAAGGTTTGTGAGAAACAAAGAAGTGCTCCCCCTTGGCCTGAGTTGCTCATAACCCTAGTGGAAAGGTGAGTCACAGAGGGCAGCTCTCTGCATCTCTCACATACTGAGGCTTCACTTACTTTTGTCAGGCAGATGCCATCATGACGGCTGTTTGCCAGCATTCTCTCTGAGTTCCTGGGTGTTTTTCATGACTTCAGTAGATTCCTGTTTTCCTTCTTGAATTAACACTCACTGAGTTGACCTTTATGCATTATCTGTCTATTTCCAAGTGGCTGAGTCTCGGTAAAACCTCTAATCTATCATCCTGGAAAAAAAAAATGGAAGCATAATTATGTAAGTTATGAATACCAGGTTGTAGGGTAGTAATACAGATGTGTTTTTGCTTAAAGCCACGCTTATTTTTTATGTTGTGTTGTCATTTTTGTGGGATTTATGTGTTTACTAAACTCTATAAGAGATAAAATCAGATTACAATGTAATATTTCTGTATGAGATATTTTCTTCTACTAATTGCAAGCTAAAAATAAGTTAAGCAATAGCTCTCTATTTGGAACTTAAAAATATGATTTCAAATGTTTCTTATAAATACTAAAGAACTATAAACCTCTTCTTCACATTTAAGGATGGCAAATGGCTCAATTTTTTTCTGAGCAATTTTGTTCCCTTTTCCGAATGGTAAATTTAGTATTCTTAAATAATACACTACAGTGATTTAATCTTGAATTATTATATCAAAAGACACAGTTTATTTTATTTCCCAGAGTATTTCTTGTATTTATTTTATGCTTGCTTATACTTGCTAGAACATATATGAATCTATCTATTCCGTATTACCAATGTTGAATAACAACAAGGGTGTTTGGCAGACTAGTAGACAAATATTTAGAAAGCATTGTCTGTTTAAAATTTTAATTTTCATAGTCATGAGTAATCAACTCATAACCAACCTATAACTTAATGTCAATATCCCAAAGCCAAAGAGAAGGTCCACAGGAAAATTAAAAAATAGATGTAAAAAAGGGTACTTTTAGATGCATGAAATTTCAGTACAACAAATAGATAAATCTAAAACTTCCTTTACAATTATTTCAGCATTACTTGTTAATATCACACAATAAAAAAATGACTTCAAAATTCAGTGGACATCATATTTAGAATATAAAATTCTAAACCACACTTGATACTAAACAGGAGGAAAAGCAAAATTAAACATTTTAAGGCTTTCATATCTTGAACTTACCTCTCATGGTTCTCTCCTGAGGATGGTTATTAATGATGTCATTCATGATAATGAATCAGAAAGCAGACACAGAAACTAAGAAAGACAAATGGTTTAATATAAGAAGTGAGGAAATCACCCTGGAAGCTAAAGAAAATAGTAGAATGACAACATTTGGTAAACATAGAAAATAATTGGCAATCTTAGAATAGGAATTCAGTGGGCTACTACACAAACATCATTGAGAAGAATGAAATGGATATCAGCAAGATGATTGAACAGGGAGCCCCAGCTTCTACTTCCTCTAAGGAGAAACTAATTCAGCAACAATACAGACCATTTCCCTTTGTGAGAAATTCAGAAACCAACTAAAAGGTTCCAGCATCCCAGGCAAACACAAACCCAGCTGCACCAATGCCAATAGGAAGATTCATGGCAAACACACCATAGGCCCTCTTCCTCAGTGCAATACAATTGGTAGAAAATGCACAGATCTCAGCTTCTCCCTGGGAACGGAAAGAGAAGACTGAAACATGTCTCCAATGTTTAGACTTTGTCAGGAGCTTCCCAAAGGACCGGTCTATGTCCTGACTAAATAAACACTGATAGGAAAGGGTGCCAGATTGAGAGCTGCTGAAAACAAAGGCAAAGATTTAGACCCCTCTCTGGCCATGGTCCCTTCCGCTGGCTCAGTGAATAAAGAGTAGAAGAGAACCTCTAACTTTTAGCTTTGTCCTGGAGAGGAAAATAGGTGAAACCAGCATCCAAATTTCTGGCCTTTGGCAGCCTACCTGAGAGGACTAGTTTTTATCTTGCTATCTCAGAGCCATATATGACAAGCCCATAGCTAATATCTTACTCAATAATTAAAAACTGAAATATTTTCCTCTCAAATCAGGAGCAAGGCAAGGATGCCCAATTGTGTCACTTCTGTTTTACATAGTTCTTGAAATTTTATCCAGAGCAATTAAGACAAAGAAATAAAAGGCATTCAAGTCAGAAGTAAAATAATCTCTATTAGTGGATTACATTAGTATACAAAAAATCTCAAGATTCCACAAAAAAACCCTTTTAGAGCTAACAAATTCAGCAATGTTGCAGTATCCAAAATTACCATGAAAATTACTTATGTGGCTATACACTAACAATGAACTATCCAAAAAGAAAATTAAGAAAATAATCCTACTTACAATAGCATTGATAAAAATAAAATACTTAATAATAAACTTAACCAAAGAAGTGAAAGACTTCTACACTGAAAAACCATAAAACATTACTGAAAGAAATTAAAGAAGACACAAATAAATAAAAAGATATCCCATGTTCATAGACTGAAAGACAATATTGGAAAAATGCCCATACTGCCCAAAGAGATCTAAACCTTCAGTGGAATCCCTATCAAAATCTCAGTGGCATTTGTTGCATAAATAAAAATACACCCTTAAATTCATATGAAACTATAAGAGAGCCCAAGTAACCAAAATAAATTTGAGAAAAAATTTTAAAAAGGCCTTACACTTTGTAACTTCAAAACATATTATGAAGATATAGTGATTAAAAATACATATAAGGGACTGGCGTAATTACAGACATATAGACCAATGTAACAGATTAAAATGGCTACAGGTAAATTTACATATATACGATTAAATGATCTTCAACAAGGATGTCAAGATGGAACTGTGGGAAAAGGAAAGACCCTTCAGCAGATGATGTTGGGAAAAGTGTACATTCACATGCAAAAGATAGACATTGGACCTGTATCTTATACCATGCACAGAAATTAATTCAAAATAGATTAAAAAATTAAATGGAAGACTATAAACTATAAAATTCTGTAGCATAATTTGAAGCTAGGTAATATGATTCCTCCAATTTTGGTATTTTTGCTCAAGATATCTTTGGTTATACTGGATCCTTTGTGGTTCCATATAAATTTTAAGGTTGTTTTTCTATATCTGTAAAAAATGTCATTGGCATTTTGACAGGGATTGCATTGAATTTATAGATTGCTTTGGGTAGCTTGGATATTTGAACAATATTTATTCTTCCACTCCATGAACATGGAATATATTTCAATTTTTTTGTCCTCTAATTTCTCTTATGAGTGTTTTATATTTTTCATTGTAGAGAACTTTCACTTCCTTTGTTAATTTCTAGAAATTTAATTTTATTTGTGGCTATTATAAATGGGATTACTTTCTTGGTTTCTATTTTATATTCTACACTGTTGGCATATAGAAACGCCACTGGGTTTTGTTTGTTGATATTGTATCCTGCAACTTTACAGAATGTATTAGTTATAATATGTTTTTGGTGGAGCCTTTAAAATTTTTCAGATATAAGATCATATCTGCAAAGAAGGATAATTTAATGTCTTCCTTTCCAACTTGTATGGTCTTTATTGCTTTCTCTTGTCTGATTGCTCTAGCTAAGACTTCAAGTACTACATGGAATAGTGTTAGAGGTGAGCATCCTTGTCATTTTCCAGATTTTAGAGAAAGGCTTTCAGTTTTTCAGAGTCCTTATATAAATGTTAATGGCCACAGGCTCCACCAGTAGACTTAATATGCTTATTTGCAAACTTATTTTTTTTAACACACCAAGAGTGTTAGATTATGCAGGAATTTGCTTTAACAATGACTGTGCATACAGCCATGAGATTAAGAGTTTATGCTACCTTTATCACTCTTCCTCAAGCACTTCTAAGGTATATAAGAATCCTTTTAGGAAAAGCCCCTCAAAATCCCAGCAATATCTTTACTTTCTTTGCATAGATAAGGATGAACAATTGTGATCCAAAATGTTTCCCAAAAAGTTCTCTTCAAAAACAAGCACAGAGACAGAAGATCCATATTAAAAGAGATCAAATCTGGGAGGATGGATAGTGTGTCTTCCAAATCTTGTGACCAAGAGTAACTATTCATCAAATGTCAGCATCTGAAGAAGGTACTAACCATGAATGTGTTTTCTCCAGAAAATAATATTGGTGGGAAGAGTAGGAACAGCCAGAGTCTCCACTAATACCTTCTTTCAAGCTCAAGTGCTGGCTCCAGCCACTGATGTCACTGTGTCCTAGTTGATCACTTCCAACCAACCTCCTCATGCACCTCACCCCAACTACCTGTCACCACTGCTTGTGACTTATCCTTTAATTCTTTTGACATCATCTTTCATAAAGGAGGAGTTTTTAATTTTAATAAAGTCCAACTTACTAATTATGTGTTGTATGGATCATGCCTTTGGTGTTTTATCTAAAAAGTTATTACTATTTCCAAGATCATTTAAATTTTATTTTAGCTTATCTTCTAGAGTTTTATAGTTTGTATTTTAAATTTACATTGATCATCCATTTTGAGTTAATTTTTATGAAAGATGTTAAGTATGTATCTAAGATTTATTTTTTGCATGTAGATGTTCAATTGTCCCAGCATCATTTGTTGAAGAGACTGTCCTTGTTTTTATTCTTTTGTCAAAGATTATTTGACTGTATTTATGTGGGCCAACTTATTGGCCCTCTTTTCTGTTCCACTGATCTACTTGTCCATTCTTTTGACAACAACACGTTGTCTTGACTACTGTAGCTTTATAGTAAATCTTGAAGTTATGTAGTGTCAGTCATCTGACTTTGTTCTTCTGCTTTAATATTGTGTTGGCTATTCTGGGTATTCTGCCTCTCCATATGAACCTTACAATCAGTTTATGGAGATCTATAAAATAACTTGCTGAGTTTTAAAGTTGAGATTGTATTAAGTCTATAGATCAACTTGAAAAGAACTGGCAATATTAAATCTTCCTACCCATGAACATGGTATACCTTTACATTTATTTAGTTCTTCTTTATGCCTTTTATCAGAGTTTCACAGTTTTTCTCATATAGATCTTATACATATTTTGTTAGATTTATACCTAAGTCTTTCACTTTGGGAGGTGCTAATGTAAATGGTAAACTGTATTTAATTTCTAATTCCACTCGTACATTTTTTGCATCTATATTCATATGTAGAAAAGTGGTTAATTTTTGTATATTAACCTAGTATCCTGCAATCTTGCTTTAGTCACACATTAGTTCCAGGAGTTGTTTTTTGATTATTTGGATTTTCTACATAGATGATCAATTCATCTGTAGCCACAGACAGTTTTATTTCTTCCTTACAATTTTACCTTTTCTTGTCACATTGCATTAGCCAGATACCCGGTATGATAGTAGAAAGCAGTGGTGAGAGGAGATATCCTTGCTATCTCCCTGAACTTAGTGGAAAAGCTGCTAGTTTCTTACCATTAAATATAATGTTACCTGTAGGGTTTTTTGTGAATATATTTTCCTTAATTTGTTGTGAGTTTTTACCATGTGTGGGTGTTGGATTTTGTTGAATACTTTTTCTGCATCTGTTGATATAATCCTGTGGCTTTTCTTTAGTCCATTGATGTGACAGATTATGTTATCTGATTTTGAATGTTAAATCAGCTTTGCATACCTGGTATAAAACCCTTGGTCATGGTGTATAATTTTTTTAGACATTGTTGGATATGATTTGTTAATATTTTGTTGAGAATTTTTGCATGTATGTTCATGAGTGATATAGGTCTTTAGTTTGTGTGTTTGTTTGTTTTTTCCTTGTGATGTCTTTGTCTTGTTTTGGTATTAGAGTTATGCTGGTGTCACTGACTGTGTTCAAAAATACTTCTGCATCCATCCTCTGGAATAGATTACAGAAAATTGGCATAATTGTTCCTTAAATGTTGGGTAGAATTCATGAATAAAGCAGTTTGGACATGGTGGTTTCTATTTTGGGAGGCAATACATTATTGATTCAAATTATTTACTAGATTAGCCATGCTCATATTGTCTATTATTTTCTTGAATGAATTTTGTCATATTATCTCCTTCAAGCAATTGGCTCATTTTATCTAGGTTATAAGATCTGTGGGTATAGAGTTGTTCATAATAATTCTTTATTAGCCTTTATGTTTCAATACAATCTGTAGTGATCTTACAATATTAGGAATTTGTATCTTCACTCTCTTTCTCTTTCCCTCTGTCTCCCTCTTCTCCCACCACTCCTTCCCTTTTCTCTGTTAGCTTGGCTAGCGAC